TAGTATGTGAAGGATCACGCATAGGTTTTGTTATACGTTTTCTCCCCCTTCCCAATGTGATAATGTGGGTTGCATGTGCTTGCTATGTGTTATGTGTGCATGATACCCCAATCCGGTTGCGATCGGATTGGTTATTCCTGAGTTGCGGTTCAGAAGCTGGCTGCGGTCAGATTTACACTCTTGGGCTGCGATCCACCGTTTGGTTGCGATCAAACGTTTCTACATGAGCTGCGGTTCATACTTTCCTGGCTGCGGTCAGATGACATACTCTTGGGCTGCGGTCCACTGTTTGGTTGCGATCAGACTATGATGAGCTGCGGTTCATCGGTCGGTTGCGATCGACCCCTCCGTGTTGCGATACGGGGCAGGGTGCTGCGGGGCCGTGTCAGAGCTATATGCGCTGACCCTCATGTATGGGCATGCGATTGGTCATGTGGCGCCAACAAAGTGTGCTATGTGCTGAAATACGGATGAGTTGTTGTTATGAGTATCTGGGGGATGTGACTAGGGGATTTACACTGGGAATCGCATGTGTTGGGTTATGATCATTAATTATGCTTATCTTTACCTGTCTTGCCTGTTTGTAACTATATATGTTGGTTTAACTGCTGTCTGTGCTTAGCCCTATCTGATGAGTCTATCCCTGTTTTAAAAGCTAGAGTTCGTAGGATACATCTTCATGTTCGAAATGGTTTTCGTATATCTATATATATCTATATGTATTGTATTTCAACGCGTTGGAATGGGTTACCAGCATCTCTCGCTGAACAGATACATTTGGCTTTCAGGCACAGAAGAATAAGTCACTGGAGCGCGCTAGAAATTGGAGCGTAGAAGTAGATAGTTTCCCTTTCGGCCTGCGTGTCATGCTTATGCATTTACATTATCGAGGATATTAGTTAGTTAGCCTGTGCACCTGAGTTCTCTAGCTCAGGTGTGGCATAGCACCCCGTACTCTTGTATTACGTTTTGGGATTTAATGAGATTTCGCCTTTATTTTATAAGTTTTAAATATCTTGAAAATTTGGGGTGTTACAACCTTAGTTATCTTATATAACTTGAACCAAACACCTCTTAATGGTTACATGTTTTATATGTACTCAATGGTGGTTTGAGAGCAGTTGCCAACTCTCTCGTTTGACAATTTATTTTATTTGTTGTTTATTTTCTGGTCCAACCCAAAAACAAAATCACTAAAGTTGCTCTAAAATCAACCATTCAAATGTAATGAAGTGAAAAACATGAATGGAATGCAGTATTTTAAAAATAAAATTATTTATTTTTTATGAATATAGTTTAAAATATAATTAAACTCTTTTTTTTTTCACTCTGCGTATAAAATAAAAGATAATTAAGCACATTGTGCTTAGATGACATGTAGTGACTCTCCCATATGGAGATCATGAGATCAAGCATCAGTGAAGGCGTTGTTGACTCTTTGTGCTTTAACATGTTGAGAAAGTATAGATGAACAGATACTACAATGTAATAGAGTCAATAGTACTAAAAAAATAAATAAAAAATAAAAAATAAAAAAAGATAACTATGCATTATTGGTTAATTGGAAATTTGAACTCTTTTCCAAATAAAAATGTTGAAAAATAATTTCGTTAATTACTCCGTAAATCTAAGTTGAGCAGATATAGTTTGTATATATGGCAATGGGCTCTTCCTTTTTGGTAGTTTAAAGTGAGTTAATAACTTAATATATACAAAATGATATTTTATATAAATTTGGATAAAATGCACTTTTCGTTCCTAAGTTATAAGGTAATTGTAGAGTTCGTCCCTAGGTGTTGGTCACCAAATTCGTCCTCATAGCCCTCTATAATATGCTTGTCCTCATTTGAATACATACCTATATATCAGCTTAAATGCGGTCACACCTTAACATGCGGACGGTGCGGCCGTACCATTAGAAAAACACACCAATAGTGTTAGAAAAACACACAACAATGAAATGTACAAATACACCATAAAATGCACAAACACACCCAAAAAAAAAAAATAAATAAATAAATAAAAATGCACCATACCTCCCACACACCTAATTGTGCGTTTCCAAATACATTGTGGTGCGTTTATGCATACTTAATGGTGCGTTTTGTGGTGATGCGTATGTAATGGTGCATTTTTTTTGGTGTATTGGTGTTTTTTTTGTGCGTTTCCTAACACTATTTATGCGTGTTTGCATTACTATTGGTGTGTCCACACTGACCGCACGTTAAGGCGCGAGCGCACTAGAACTAAGGTATATATATATATATATATATATATATACACACACACACACACACACACACACACACACACACACACACTTTTACGCAAATGCAACTACGCCTTAATGTGCGGTCGGTGCGTTTGCTTAAAAAAGGCATCAATAGTGTTAAGAAAATGCACAATAATAAAATGTACAAATACACCATAAAACGCACAACACACCCAAAAAAAAATGCATCATACCTCCCCACACACCTAATTGTGTATATTCCGAACATTGTGTGGTGCATTTATGCATACCTAATGGTGTGTTTTTTGTGATGCGTACCTAAGGTATGTTTTTTGGTGTATTTGTCCATTTTTTTTGTTGTGCGTTTCCTAACACTATTGGTGCATATTTGCGTAACTATTGGTGTGACCGCACTGACAGCGCGTTAAGGCGCGCCCGCACCTGAAGTAAGGTATATATATATATATATATATATATATATATATATATATAGGTATAAGTATAAAGTACATATAAGAGTAAAGGAAAAATGAGTTAGTCAAGTTGGTAAGGTATGTGTGTAGCTTATGAAAGGTTTTGGGTTTGAATTTGCCCTTAACATGATTTAGTGTGTCACCCACCAAATCCAACAATTATCATTCTTTTCATATATTAATAATGAGATGTGTGGTTTATAATGTGTTTTATATTCGAATCATTTTATTAAAGTAATTATTTTTTATATTTTGTTATGATTATTTTTAGGAATAAGGGTCAAATAGGTCACCGAATTATACACGAAAAGGCAATTAGGCCATTAAACTAAAAAAAGCTATAATTAGGTCCCTAAATAACGCAAAATGATGTAATTTAACAAAAAATGACTTGTTTACCTGTTAATTGATGATGTGACGATTATCATATTAAAAAATATCTTTTCAGTTTTATTTTATAAATATAAATGTTAAATTAAAAAAAAAAAAAAAAAAAAAAAAAAAAAAAAAAAAAAAACAAGATTTGTCCCGCTAGTGCGTGGTCTGTAACTACCTTTCGCGTGGTGTCTTTGGAGGTAGAAAACGAAAAAGACCGCCACGCAGGAGGCTACTAGTAGGTAAACCATGAATCTCATTATCGCCGCTATGGACCGCCATGCAAGAGACCTTCATCTTTAGGCTACCGGAGACGAGAGTCTTCGCCTCCGGCAGCTTGTAGACGAAGCAGGCAAATCTTGGGGTTTTTTTTTAATGATTTAATTTTAAATTAATAAAATAAAAATAAAAAAATAATTTTTAATATGGTACCGCGCGCCATGTCATCAACTAACATGTAAATAAGTCACTTTCGATTCAATTGCATCATTTTTTGTTGTTGAGGGACCTAATTGTAACTTTTTTTTAAGTTCGATGGCCTAATTGCATTTTCGTATGTAATTCGGTGACATATTTAACCTTATTCCTTATTTTTATAAAGTTTTGATGTAATTTATTTTTTATTCATATTCAACAATATTTATGGCTATGCTTCATAAGTGTTTTTTTATATATATATAACTATCTCTTTTGTTTTAATATTTATATTTATATTTAATAATGACATTTGATTTATAATGTGTTTTATATTTGAATCATTTTATCAAAGTAATTATATTTCATATTTTGTTATGATTATTTTTATAAAGTTTTGATATATTTTATTTTTCATTCATATCTAACAATATTTATAATTATGCTTCATTTATTTTTTTTTTTTTAAACTATCTCTTTTATTTAATATTTGCCCCCGAAAAGTTTTTTTGGGCCCATTCCTGCTAGCTACAAACATATAATACCAAATTAACTAATACATTTCATCGCAACTATAAAACTATACTGATAGTTGAAATTTAATTTTATATTTTATATTATTATATGCCAAACATGCACATGCACAGACATATACGGACACTTAACCCAGAATCTTACTTAAATAATAAAGTACTAAAATAATGCGGTTGTTATACAGTAGACCATGGTCAACACAGCTGTGTAACAGCGCCATTTCTTTAAATAAAAAAAATAATTGTCGTTAAATTTTATCAAATCTTGTATTTTTTGTGTTTATAACAAAATGAAAGTACAATGTATCTAAAATGAAATTAGATAACTTGTCTCATATATTGTGTTTATATTATCAAATAAAACTGTAATTGAATGGAAATGATACTTTAGTTGTGTTGAAATGAAACTGAAGAACATGTTTCATATATTGAGTATATATTGTCAAATAGAATTGTAGTTGAATTGAAATGATACTTTAATTTTACTGAAATGAAACTATAGTATGTATTAAAAAAAAAATTGAATAACATGTGCAATTAAACCCACCAACTTATCATTTTAATGCATTTAAACCCCATAACTGATTACCCACAAGAAATAACTTGTTAATAGAGGTTTCAACAATAAAATTGACAACTAGCAAATGGTCCCACTGATTGTCATTGTTCGTGAAGAAGGCAAACACAACAGTTGCCTTCCTCTTCAAGGCGACCAAACTAGTTACATTCTTTGTCAATCGAAAGAAGGCAACCAGTCTAGTCACTCGACAGTCAACTTGGACATATAACTCGACAGTCGACTTGAACATGTAAACAGTGACCGACAACAGTTTGTATGTTATGTCATAATTTTTTTGGTAACATTTTGATTACCGATAAATTTGACTTATTTAACCAATTTTAATAGTTTAGAGGGTTTAATTACACTTTTTAAAAGTTCAGAAACCTAATTGGTGTATAGTGTAAAGCTCAATAGCTTATTTGATCATTTTTCCAAAGAGAAAAGATTTAGTTAAACACGGTACACCAGGCCCTCTTCATTAAAGCAACATGGTTTAATATTCCATGTATCAACACATCAATGGATACTGATTTCCTAATCTTTTCCTATAAAAAAGCCATAAATAATGCAACTAGAAAGGAAGTGATGCTAAGCTCAGAGTCACGCCTCACTGCATGTACAAACATCAAAATGCTCAGGTCATCATACCAGAGAAGGCCAACCTCATTGCTTTAGGCCATACTTCAAGCGTAGCTCAAAAAGAATGTTTGCGTTCTTTGAAGTTCCCCTGCTAAATACTTCATCCCATATCTTGGCAAGTTCTGTTGTAAATGGGGAAAAATGAAAGTCCTGATCATGCATCAGTAGAATGTGCTAAAGTGCAACTTAGAAGATCATCTGAACATGGGTCTACAAAGTATCATGGGCTATACCGTAATGCATTTTAAAAAAAAAAAAAACATGTATCAAATGTGCAAGCACATGCTGTGGGGGAGTCGGGGAGATAGCAGGCGCATAGCATGTTCGAGTGTTTGCAAAAAAAGTGGCAAGATAGCATATAGCTCGAAGATTATGCAAACTGCTAAGAAGTCAATCGTAAGGAATATGGTACAACAATAAGATGTTAACAAAAGACGTACCAGCTTTATCAGAAGATGATAGACACATGATGATCATGCTGAATCTTGGGACCTTTGGCAGATTTTCCAAGTACCGAACAGCCAAATCTTCATCTTCCCTGCTCATCAGAAGAAAAGGCATCTAGGTACTAAGTATGTGGTAATGGTGTTTGTATAACCTGAAATGGTGAAATCACCCTCCTACTTACATGAAAAATGTGGCAATACACCGGGTAATGTCCATAAGCATAGGAGCAGACAATGCATTCTTAAATATCTGAGGTAATGCTGCGGGTGATGTTACCTGAACAGATTATAATATAAAAGGTGAGCAGTAGAAAGGCATAAAACCAATGCAGTCTAAATGGTATAAACTGATCAAAGCAGAAGACTGAAAGAAGCAAAGAAGAGTGCATTGGAGGAGACCTTCAGTAATTTAACTTGTAGATTACGGTCACCAGAAAGTCCACGCCAAGAAACCTCGAACTGATAAGCTGAATTTGGTGGTGCAATATTTTTTGCAGCTTCAGCTTTGGCATAACTAGCTGCTCGGGCAGCAAGCTCTTGCACAGACTCCTTCAGCTCTTGTCTATCACTTTTTCGATTTCTCTGTGGAAATTACAGGAAGGTTGAGGCCACAAAACTCCTTTTCATCTTAGCTTCTTTCTTAATATGCTTTAGAGTTCAGCACTGGTGTGAAGCTTAGTATAATAAAAATAGAGGGTAGTAGTATGTTTCATGCTTGTAAGACAAGAATGTTTATTCTGAAAGACGTATTTAACATTTAACAGTTGTATAAAAATAATTTCTTTCTTTTAGAGTTAGAAGTGGAGAAATAATAATAAAAACAATAATAACAACAACAACAATAATAATAATAATAAACAAATTATTTTGTAAGAACATAAAGAACTCAAACCTCTGCAGTAGCCAAAGAAGAATTTGGATTAGCATCTGATTCTTTTGCGTCAAGTTCCATAGGACTAGCTTCAATGTTTATGGAAGGCTTTGCAGGAAGAATTCTCTTACTTCCCTGCCAAAGAACTGACATTTCAGCTAACTTAAGGAAACTGAGAAAATGAATCCATTTATTATATCTTCACTGCTATTTCTAAAGGGAATTTTGAATTTTCTCTTGCTAATTATATATTGTAGAGACACTAGTCCAAACAAATGAATTAGATGTGCCTTGTGGCCTATTATCCTTATTGTAGCACCTCAAGGTAGTTAAACATAGAACTAAATCCCTTAGACAAGAAATTTTCACTGAATTACTAGAACAGTATAACAAAAAGTGCAAATTACTAAAAATAAATCCAAACATCTAGTGTTTTCCCGTCAACCAAATCCAGGTTTAAACTTAATGTAGCATTCCCCGTTTAAAATCCAAAAGACCAATACTTATTCAGGATAACAACCTAAGTAAAAGTTACCTGAATTTCAGTTACCCGCTGAGAACTGCTTGAGACAGATTGAACAGTGGCCTCAGATTTCTTCATCTCCTCTTCTGGTTTTGCAGATTTTTGTGTCCTTTGAACAGATTTTTTGGTTGATCCAGATACTTTCTTAAGAATTTCCTGTTCAGATTGATTGAACTGAGTCAACCCGAACTAGTAATGATGTAGAGAGAGAATACAAACATGACAATGCCCAAACTGTGCAGACTTCTAAAAGGTACCAGAGCTATTCAATATCTTGAAAAATGAAGTTTCGAATACATGCACACACACTACTCTACAACAGATACAGGTGAAAATTTCCTACAAAACTTTAACAGTCTGATGTACTAGAAATTGAACTTGAGAACAGGAGTTCCCAGGATGCTCCAACAACCATGAATTTTGTATCCACAAGATTAACTTCATTTTTTTTTTTTGTATATTCCCTCCCCTAACTAGATGTCAACCTTCGCATTTTCAGCATCCCTAGATAAAGCATGTGTTCCATAAAGGAAAGTTTTAATTCCTATTCATGTAATAACAGGATACACTAATAAAAGGCTTGTATTATAATAGAATAAAAGTATATACAATTTAAATCGAACAACAACCTATGACCAAGAACTACCATTTTCCCCCTTGAGGCTGTCCAGATACCCAGAAGTAAACAAATTAAGTTTACAACAACACCACAAACAAGAACTAGTATCTAGATATTGTGACGACTATACCTTCTCAAACAAAGCTTTTACTTCAGCATACTGCTTCTTAACCTCATTATTCTGCGGTTCCAACCTCAAGGCAAACTCAGCATCTGCACTGAGCTATAACTACATCAGGAAAATATGTAATCAAAAACATGGGAGATCTTCATTCTCTTGAATTTAATATTTGCAGCTATACCTTCGGTGGATTCTCTTAATTTTCCAAGTTCTTTTCTAGCAGTTGAACGGCGAGAGTATGCCTTAATGTAGCGATCATCCAAGTTCAAAGCCTCTGTACAGTCATCCTCAGCCTCCCGGAATCTAAAATAAAGCATAATGAAAGTAGATTAGAAGAACTGCCTGACTATTTATTTATGTTAACCTAATTTCATCTAAGAAAATGAATAAGAGTATATCAACTTGCCTTTTGATCTTAAGATAAGCCATAGCCCTATTGGCATAAGCTACTGCAGTTGGTGATAAGACAATGCTTCTAGAGTAGCAATCAATTGCTTCATTGAATTTTTTCTGCTTAAAGAACTCATTTCCCTACCCAAAAAAAGTATGAAATTGAAATGTAATATCCATGAGGACCTAGGTACGAACTTCAGTTTATAACAGACAATTTAAAAAAAAAAAATTTTGAAGGCCAAAATATACCAACTCTTTCTCTGCATTGGCATCAGCAAAACTATCTTCTGTCCTGAAACGACTTGACAAATGATTGATTGAATCATAGTTTTTCAAATATCCATACTGACCGGCAGCACTAGAGCTAGAGTTAAGTTCATCCACTTGTTGTCTCCCATTAGTTTGGGGAACACTAGAAAGTTCATTAGCACTTTTTACTCCCTCTCCCTGTGAAAGCACAATTTTGAAAGAAAAGAATTTTCAGCAACAAAGTAAAGAATTCTTCAAGCAAGGATGTGGAGAAGTAGACAAGACAACAGGAGAGGGGAACTAAAGGGGAGGGAGGGGAATACTGCATAGAGTGGATTTCATTCAATCTGTAATATTACTAATTACTAATTAGTTAATATTTAATAGAAAAACCTGACCAGCTAATTGTTGAAGTCAAACTAAGAACAAAGTTCTAAAATAGAAATCCAGATCCTGAAAATGTTAATCTCCACAAATGAGGCTGAAAGGATAAATAATCACCTTTCTAAATTTCAAACGAATAGGTGTATACTGTAGGACTGTAATTTAGATATCACTTCAAGCAATCAAGCATCAAAATAAAAATTCCCATGGTAATGAGAATAGCAGAGCCACCCACACTGGTAATATTACAAAATTGAGGAAAAGGAATACGAAGGCAAATTGTTTCCTTATTATAAATCTAATTTATTTTATCTTCTAAACATAAATCTGTAAGCAAATTTAGTATAGTTACCACTTACCAGCTTCTCTTTGCCAAGGGCCTCTGATTTCACCTTCTTGTCTTTGTTCTTCAATGACAGTTCCCAATCTTGTAGATTATTCAATAGCCCCTCAAAACCCTGCTTAACAAGTATGCTGCTCAAGCTAATATACACTCAAAATGGCCAAGAATTTGTAAGGAAAAACTCAAAACTATTTATATGCACAATAACTGAATTAATAATATTCAAATTTCAAGCAAAATGCTAAACAGAAAAATAAAAATAAAAATAAAATCCATTCTTACTGACTCCTGTGCATCTATCTAAAGTTCAAATTTTCTTTCTATCTCAACGCAAAATCCGCCAAAATACTCCCTTCAATTTAGAGTCTTTCAACTCTCCCTTCTTTCTATTATTTGGGAACTGATTTTAATTTTTTTTATTATGAAATTTCAAAGAAAAATGTGCAGTTTGTGACTTTGCGTTAAGAAAATACCCCCAACCAAAAAAAAAAAAAAAAAACATTATGTGAAAAGAGGAACTTCGCAACTTTCAAGGGTATTCAAAATTCACAATATAGAATCTCGAGAAAAATACAATGGAGTAAGTCTAAGATATAGAGCTGATAAGAATGACAGCATGAAACGCAAAAAAGGGGGGAAAACTTAAGAAGAAAACCCTTGCATTCAGTAATAGAGTAGAAAACCTGAAGTTGATCGCGGCTGTGCTTGCTCGGAACCCTAGCCATGGAAATTCGAGGTTTGGAAGATGGTAGTTCGCGATGCTTCTCGGGAAGTTTTGAGTTTTAGGAGCGCTCGGCCGCTCGCTGACGACTACAGACGTACCAGAGACTTCTGTTTTCCGCTTCTTTTATTTTTGGGTTTTGGCCCCTCTTTTTTTTCTTATTTAACTTATCACCCGTTCTTCTTCTTCTTATAGTAAAAAGTAATTACTCCATGATTTTGAAGTGTCATCACATTATATAGTAGTTTGCGTTCTGCTTTTATTTATTTGTAATTCTTCTGTGCGTTTATCTATTACGGAGTATATATTTAAAAAATTTGTAATTTTAGTCGCTAAGTTGTAAGTTAAATGTAATTTTTATTCTTAATTAATTAATATGGTATTGCAATAGTACCCATATTTAGTAATGAAAATGGTGTATTTAGCCCTTCTATCAATTGTTATTTTAGATGAAAAAATACATAATTTTTTGCGGAAATGATTGTTTTGATGACGGTAGAAATTTTTAAAAAGTTATGGTCATTATTTCTGATCAACCCCATTGAAAGTCACTAAAAACATCGACAATCACCAAGTATCATAATTTAAATTTTTTCTTTATAATATGTTAGACAATTGGTATTAAATTGTCTTCCTACCATATTATGTCATGTTATGCACATATGAAGTGAGTGGATAAAATGGTTTGTAAGATATTTTTCACATTAGTATCACCTAACACATACCAAAGAAATTGATTATTTTACATGACTTTGAAATATAATTGTTTAATTTTGATCTCTGTATTAATATATAATTTTAAAGACATGAACTAATTTTTTTTTAAATATTATTAGATCACAATCCAGATATTAAAATTGAACTTTTATAAAGTTGAGTGATAGAAAATGTAGCACAATAATTGAAATTAATACTATCATAATAGTCATATTAAAATTGAATTAAAATCCTTGAGAGGTGATCAACTATAACTAACATAAAGCTGAGGGGTCAAAATTCTAGTTTCATTTATATTTATTATTGCATATTTGTATGTATCACCTATATATTCTCCTAATACATGTATTTTAATGTGTAATACGTTTAGGATATTACAATTATGAGATTCTTATTTAAAAAATGCACTATGATATTTATTCGTAAACAAGATACATTATATTTACGTCGTTAAACTCTTCAATCACAAGATGGCATGGACATATTAAATTTTTATGTGTATATACATATTATGTATATATATATGTACCCCCAACAAAATTACTATTTCAACTTACAAATATCATTATTAATATTATCGTTTCTAACAAAAAACATGTCCAAGTTTGGAATGATATTTTGTATACGGGTGTTACTATTTGCACCCCTTTGATTAAAATGGGGTAAAAAGTACATTGAAAATATAAAAAGTTAAAAACTTATAATAAATACATAGATGGTGCAAATAGCCTAATGAGTGGTCAAAATTCTATTTGCACCACCTTAATTAAATCACATTTATTAAGTATAAATAATAATTAATTAATTCAAAATTTAAAAAAAAAAAACAAAAAAACAAAAAAACAAAAAAGAAATCCGGCCTTCTCCGATGCCTTCTCACCGGAGAAGGTAACGGGAGGTTTTTTTTTTTTTTTTTTTTTTTAATTTTAATATTTTTAATTTAAAAAAAAATAAAAGTAATAATAATAATCTTTGACCATATTTAATACTAGTGGTGTAAATAGCAAATTTGCATTTACACCACCTATAAAGCTATTTGACCTACTAAATAGGTGGTGCAAATAGTAAAATAGGTGGTGTAAATAAAATTTCCCTTTGCATACACGATACAAATAGTGTAGTCACCAAACATTATTATTACTTTCTTAAGCTGAAAAGTAGGCCTGAGCATCGGTCGGGTACGGACGGATCGGATGGCCAATCCGTCCATCCGATCGGATTTCGGATTGGGAAAAACTACCCCAATCCGTTCGAATTAAGAGGGAAATCCTCTCGGATTTCACCTGTTCGGATACGGTCGGGTTGGGGTTCGGATTTCGGTTTGTAGTCGGATTATAAAACATACCAAAATTAAAAAAAAAAAAACTTTAAAAATGTTGAAACTTAATAAGTAATATTGTAATAACCCTAAACTAAATTACCAAAGTTATGTAGGCATTTACATACATAATTACATAATTACATATTGCAGTTCAAAAAGCAAAAATGAAGTTCACAAAATGAGAAAATCAACAACACTAAACTACTAAGTACTAAATACTAATTACTAAAGTACTCAGCAGTCAGCATTCAGCATTCACCAATCAGCCTTTAGCAATCAGCATTCATCCATTCCTCATCTTCCTGCTCAATTATAAAACCATTAAACGATTTAAACTTTAAAGTCAATAAAGACAAAGAGAAGTAGAGAACTAATAATAATTAATAAGATAGGCTCATATTGCTTTTTTTCATATCATTTTAGAGTTGGGGGGAAATTGCTTCATGAGTTTTGTCTCAGAGCAACATACCAAACACCCAAAGTCCTTTTAATTCAGACAAATGGTGGAAGCATCATCATAGCCATAATAACTAAACAGAAAGGAGAATATGAGAGGAAGGGAAGTGATATACCAGAATTCCAGAGATGTAACTGAGTAAGGGGCTAAGGCCTAAGGGCAGCAACATTTATAAAAAAAGTTACCAAGCCACTTAGCAATTAGCAGTTCTGGAATCTTAATTCTTACCTGAGTTGCCTCAAAGAGTCCACACATTTATCAATCAAACTAAACAGAAAGTCAGAAAGCAATGTTATATAAAAGTATTACAGCAATTGTTGGGAGTGTTCCAACAGCACTTGGTAAAGAACCAGCAGCTCCAGTGGACAATTCTGCACAAAAAGGATAAACAAAAAAATAGTTTAGAATAAAGGTAACAATTAACAATTTCTAAAGTTGAAACCTAAAAAGTTAGAAAAGGTACCCTTCTCTAGTCTTTCAACATCATCCAAGTTTTCCTCAACAGAGATTGGATGATTGGGTGCCCTCAACCAATCTTGTGCACATACTAGGGCTTCAACAATTTTAGGAGTTAAGGAACTCCTAAAGGGATCTAATACCCTACCACTAGTACTGAATGCACTCTCAGAAGCAACAGTTGAAATGGGAACAACCAGCACATCCCTTGCCATTCTAGAGAGTATAGGAAATCTATCACTGTTAACCTTCCACCATCTTAGGACATCAAAGTCCACATTTTCTTCATCTTCCACTAATTTTTCACTTAGATAAATCTGGAGTTCAGTTTCTTTACTGCTTCCACCAGTCTCCATTCTCTGTTTTTTAAGCTGGCTTTTCATTCTAGCCTGAGGTTTTCCAACTGAAGTTTGAGAATGGACAGGTTCAGATTGGGTAGGTTGCACAGTAGGGGATGCAGACTGCACATGGTAGGTGGCTGTATAATAACAGCAGAACCATAGAAGATTGAACCTTTTCAAAGCATGATTTTCCTTTTTCATCACCATACAACTGGGCAAATTGGGCAGGCATGTACTCAATCTTATTCCTAGGATCCAAAATATTGGCATATAATATCAAGAAGTTCATTTTTTCAGGATCTCCCCAATATTTTTCAAATTTTTGTTTCATATGGGACCCCATTTCCTATAAAACAGACATAACACAGAAAAAATTAACAGATGCATACAAACACATTCAGAAAAATGTTAACAGTTTAGTGTTTACCTTTTCAGAGGTTGAAACAGAGTTAACCATGAGGCATTAAAGGTGAGAAAACCCAAGTCCCCAAAACCCCCTCAGAAGCTTCTGTTCCAGAGGCATTAAAGGTGAGAAGAGACTGCCTTGTGTCCTTACAATGAGGATTTTTTAGGCAGGCCTTCATATGGTTTTTCAAAGAGGAAGTGCCATGCTTTTTACTTTCACATTTATAAATTTTGGCACAATAAAGGCATTTGCCCTCAACTACTGGTCCCTCAGTTTCACCTTCAGCAGGTGGAGCACGGTTCTTTTCAAAATGATCCCATACTATAGATCTAGACTCCACCTCTTTCCTCTTCTTTGTAGGAACAACAGGAGGAGAAGGCATAGGATTTGTCTGAGGATTTCTCTCAGTACCTTGAGCTTCTACTCCATGCTCCTCATCAGTTGAGGTTGGAGGGTGTCCAGTTGCACTGATGCTTTCCATCTATAAAGATGGGCATCAGTATCCACATTTTAGGGAGATTACAAATCATACAATCATATTAAAGCTTCCACCATACAATCATACATAGAAGTATTACATATTACACTTCCACATATTGAACAAAATCAGATATTCAGATAGTCACAGAGAACTGAGAGAACTGAGACCACATAAATTACATAATAAACAATTAAACATACAAAGATATCCAGAATCAGACACATGGACATAGTAGTTTGTGTCATCATTTTTCCAGATTTAACAATTACCAATTAAGGGTCATACATCCATAAACTGATAGACATAATAACATATACAATTATACAAACAAATCCAGATTCAGGAACTCAGTCCAGATCATCATTATCTGGATTTGAGTTAAGGGCTTCCACCAATAAATGGAAATTCCCACACTGGAGATTTCACATTTTAACATTTAACTCGGATTGTTAGATTACAAATTTGCATGGCATAAAATCCAGATTTCACAAAATCAACACTTAGAAATCAGTTTGTAAAAGGCTTCCACCAACAAATAGCATAATATATGAATATATCACCAAATATTCATCACAGACTCATTGTAAATGAAGATATATAAATTATAAAACTAGGGTTTACGATTTACTTGATTTCTCCCAAATAATCCCGGGAGAACAAGGGCTTCTAATCACCAGTTCACCAGTAATCACCACGGCTTCCACCACTTAGACTCTCAGAGACAGAGAGTAAGAGATTAGAGATTAGAGATTGCAACGCTTCGATTCTGAGAACCCTGAGATTAGACAATAGAGATTAAGAGATTAGAGATTTAGAGATTACAGATTACAGAATAAGACTGTAAGAGATTAGAGCTTAGAGAAATAGAGATTAAGAGATTAGAGATTTACCTTACGGATTTACAGAATCAGAGATGACTGGTGCGTGCTGAGTCTTGAGTTCTT